CAAAAACCATGAAAATTGGTTCAGCCCAAATCAAGTTATAAGCAGTCTTCACTTTTACACAACTTTCTTTTATATATATAGATTGTACTATAGACACATATTTTAATTAAAATTGTTGCACATTTTGCTTTTAATTTCTCAACAGTTTGCTGAGTTGCTCGTATCCATTCGCCGTATACAGAAGTTCATGATGCATGAGGAGACGAAAGTGCGCGACAAATCTCACGATGCGAACGATCAGAAACTGAAGCCGCCCGGCACCATTGTGGAGGAGGCTGCGGCCACAGTGACAGGAGTGCTGAAGCCGAACAGTCGCCGGTCTAGCGAGACGGAGGTCGGCATAAATATTACCAAGATGAAGGCCAAGTGGGATTCCAAGTCTACTGAGTATACGCTGGATAACATTAATCTGAAGTTCAAGCCGCGCCAGCTGGTGGCTGTCATTGGACCTGTCGGTGCTGGCAAGTCCAGTTTGATACAAACGGTGCTCGGCGAGCTCCCTCCGGAATCGGGTAGTGTTAAAGTGAATGGCACCCTCTCGTATGCATCCCAAGAGCCGTGGCTGTTTACGGGCACCGTGCGTCAGAATATCCTGTTCGGTCTAGCCATGGACAAGAGTCGCTATCGCCAGGTGGTGAAGAAGTGTGCGCTGGAGCGTGACTTTGAGCTGCTGCCGTACGGAGATAAGACAATTGTGGGCGAGCGTGGTGCCTCCCTATCTGGTGGCCAGAAGGCACGTATCAGTCTGGCCAGAGCCGTCTACCGCAAGGCCGATATCTACCTGCTGGATGATCCCCTCAGCGCTGTGGACACTCATGTGGGCCGTCATCTGTTTGATCAGTGCATGCGCGGCTATTTGCGGGATAACATTGTGCTGCTGGTCACCCATCAGCTGCAGTTCCTGGAGCAGGCCGATCTAATTGTCATTATGGACAAGGGCAAGATCAGTGCCAAGGGCACCTATGAGTCCATGTGCAAGAGTGGCCTGGACTTTGCCCAAATGTTAACCGATCCCAGCAAGAAGGAAGAGGGCGCCGGCGATGCACCCGACAAGCGAAAGCTATCGCAGATCAGCACGCGTCGCAGCCGACAGAACAGTGTCTCGTCCATGGAATCGGGCGCCGAATCCGTGGTAATGGAGTCGCCCATGCAGGCGCAGGAAACCCGCACCGAGGGACGCATTGGCTGGAATCTCTACAAGAAATACTTCGCTGCCAATGGCTACTTCCTGTTCATTGTGTTTGCCTTCTTCTGCATTGGTGCTCAAGTTCTGGGCTCGGGCGGTGATATGTTCTTATCATACTGGTAAGTAAACAACTGGAAAACATACATATATATGTAGTTTGCAAATAACTGTTGAGCGTCCGCTAGTAAGGGTCTCTCACTCAAACTCTGATAGAAGAAACTCGGAGAGCAACCGATCGGTTGCATCGGTTCTCGATCGAGTTCGTTCCCGATCGGCTGCTTTATTTCGCTCAACCTGTTCCCTGTGTTAGTTGAGTGTCTTATACGAATCGTGTCACTCCCTAAACGATGTTCGTCAAAAGAGCACCACACGAATAGTTCTAATCAACAGAAATCAAATTCGAAAATCCCGAAGTCTCTTACTCAGAGCGAAAGCGATTAGATGTGATTTTTGTTCAGTTGATTTCGTCTACAGAGCGTAAACAATCAGAACATGTAATCTTTACATTATGTTAATAATTCAACTGATAGTTACTAGTAAATGTATGTAATCTAACAGTATGTTGATAATATAATTAATTTCAATGTTATGCTCACCTCATTTTCAGGGTCAATAAAAACGAAGGCGAAGCGGAAACCTTTATGTCACGGCTGCGTCGCTCCTTCATGCCGAGAATCAACAGCGAAACGGATCCCGTCGATATATACTATTTTACGGCTATCAATGTCTTGGTGATTGTGTTCTCTCTGGTGCGCAGTGTGCTCTTCTTTTACTTGGCTGCCAAGAGTTCGACGACGCTGCACAATAAAATGTTCCAGGGCGTGACCCGAGCGGCAATGCATTTCTTCAACACAAATCCCTCGGGTCGTATTTTGAATCGTTTCTCCAAGGATCTTGGTCAGGTGGACGAGATTCTGCCATCGGTCATGATGGACGTTATGCAGATTTTCCTCGTTATCTTGGGCATTATCGTGGTGCTGTGCATTGTGAATGTGTGGTATCTGCTGGTCACGTTCATCTTGGTGGTCATCTTCTATCTGCTGCGCTCCTTCTACCTGACTACATCCAGAGATGTCAAGCGATTGGAGGCTACAAGTATGTGCAGAGCAACAGATTCATTGAGTAATCCAGATCTTATTTATGCTTACTCTCGATCTCTCACAGCTCGCTCACCGATCTACTCCCATTTGAGTGCTTCGCTGAATGGTTTGGCTACGATACGAGCTTTCGGTGCACAGAAGGAGCTCATTGAGGAGTTCGATAATTTCCAGGACTTGCACAGCTCTGGCTTTTATATGTTCTTGGCGACGAGTCGTGCCTTTGGCTACTGGCTGGATTTGATCTGTGTGCTCTATATCGCCATAGTGACGCTTAGTTTCTTCCTCTTCTCGCCGCAAAACGGTGGCGAGGTCGGCTTGGCCATAACCCAGGTGCGAACCACTATAACAAATTGTCAGCCGAATTCTTCTAACCAAGTTCTTTGTACAGGCTATGGGAATGACAGGCATGGTGCAGTGGGGTATGCGTCAGTCCGCCGAGCTGGAGAACAACATGACGTCGGTGGAACGTGTCGTTGAGTACGAGGACCTGGAGCCGGAGGGCGACTTTGAGTCCAAACCGAACAAGAAACCACCAAAGGACTGGCCCGATGAAGGAAAAATTAAATTCGATGACCTGAGCTTGCGCTACTTCCCCGACAAGGATGCGGACTATGTGCTCCGTTCGCTGAACATTGACATCAAGGCCTGTGAGAAGGTTGGCATTGTCGGACGCACGGGCGCTGGCAAGTCATCCCTGATCAATGCCCTGTTCCGCCTGTCCTACAACGAAGGCGCAATCCTGATCGATCACCGCGACACCAACGAGCTGGGTCTGCACGATTTGCGCAGCAAGATATCAATTATACCCCAAGAGCCGGTTCTGTTCTCGGGCACCATGCGATACAATTTGGATCCCTTCGATGAGTACTCCGACGTGAAGCTCTGGGAGTCACTGGAGGAGGTCAAGCTCAAGCAAGTGGTTGCCGACTTGCCCAGCGGCTTGATGAGTAAAATCTCCGAGGGTGGAACCAACTTCAGCGTGGGTCAGCGCCAGCTGGTGTGCCTGGCCCGTGCTATACTCCGCGAGAATCGCATTTTGGTCATGGACGAGGCGACGGCCAACGTGGATCCGCAGACAGATGCTCTCATTCAGAATACCATTAGGAATAAGTTCAAGGAGTGCACAGTGCTAACAATTGCCCATCGGTTGCACACGGTCATGGATTCGGATAAGGTTCTGGTTATGGATGCAGGACGTGCCGTTGAGTTCGCATCGCCCTTCGAGCTGCTCACCGTGAGCGAGAAGAAAGTGTTCCACAGCATGGTCAAGCAAACAGGCGATGCCACATTCGATGCTCTGCTCAAGGTTGCACAAAAGGTGAGTCTGCTCGGAGTAATATATCCTAAATCCGGTAATTAAATATATCTTGTATAATTTGTTGAACAGGCGCATGAGGATAATTTGCGGTTGAAAAAGGATTCTTGACATTTCGCCGTGCCGAAAGCTTTTAAAGACTACATACTTAAGATACTGGAACCAATTACGAACCACCCGGCTGCCAATGCGCGCATACAAAAGACCTTCCTATTCGCCGAGGCCTCCAAGCAGAAGCTGTTAGGGTAGCCCAAGATAAAGTAATGACAAAAAGGATAAGCAAAAAGTAAACAATCGTTAAGCAAAGGATTTTTATAACACAAACAAAACACATACACACACACACACACAGATGTACAAATGAAATCCAACTAAATGTTAGTTGAATTGAGATCGTAGAACTATATAGTATATATACGAGATGTATGACAATAAGAGCTCAAGTTGGAGCATCTAAATCGATATCATAAACAAAATGAAAAGACCTTTAAAAGGTCGCATAAAATGTGTTCCGTAACGACAATAACGATTATTTAAAAAAAAGAAAGAAAAAAAACAACAACAAAAGATTACTATAAACTGTTACGTCTAGTATTAATGTGTGTGTTTTTATAGTAATTTATTAATGTACAGGTATACAGAATAAATGTAACAATTTCTTAAATTTTTATTTCGAATTTTTTGTTTCACAAGATATATATATTTGTTTCTATTATTTTCACATTGGCTGTTCAGTTCGTTAAAGCAACTAATAGAACTGCATTTAAATCATCTATAAAATATAGAGATTCAATGCATTTAACAATATCAAAAACAAAAAAAAAAAGAGAAAATTGTATCTTCCATTTGCTGCAAACAGAACAAATTAA